TGCTTCTACATTTTATTTTTTTTTTTGAAATTATTTTAAATTATTAGCACAAATTTAATAATTATATATATACATGCTTTTGTACATTTTGATTATTGCTTACTTTTTTTATCATCCCTTAATTTGTTTAATTCCTACCTTATTTTTCATTATTAAAAAATCTTATAAATTTAATCCTTATATACATTATAAACCTTATTACTTAATCGCTCCTTCTCATACAATCATTAATTCCTAAATTATTAATTACAACTATTAGTCATATTAACTACTATACAAAGTATTTTGACAAGCAAAAAAAAAAAAAGTTTTTTTCTTAAGTGAAATTGTTGCTTAATTTTTGGGTTTAGCCCGTCGTATGTACCCTAAAAAATTATTAGTAACACTGTCGGTGGTTTTTTGCTGTGTAAGATTTAGTTAACGTCAGTTAAAAGGTAGAACACCCATGGTATTCAACTGGTTTCTTTTTCTTCTACTCGCTACTTGTAGTGCTGCTGAGCGTTCTATAGTCTGCTGAAAGCTATAAGCATGTCGTTTGTAGCGTCCAACCTATTCCTCTGCTTGTATTTCATTAGAAGCATATTAAAACAACCCTCTTTGCACGAACTAGTTGTCGAAAACTTAACAAGATCCGCAAAGCGTTTTCTTAAAGCTTATTATATGAGTTTTTGCACTAGAACTTTTCGAGGTTACTGTTTAATTGAACGTATCCTTGCAGTTGCTATCAATACGCAATTCGATCTCTTCTTCTTGGATTTTATTAGAAAGCTCTTCTACATTAGTACTAAAGGGTTTCGAATTATTTTTCGGATAGCTTCCGTCTTGATCTCGTTGCATCCCGGGAAGTACCTTGTAAACTCCTTTTTATGATTGCGGAGGAACTTCGGCTGTGGTATAAATGCAAGTAATTTTGTCTTTAGTGAAAGTTTTGAGGCGTCGAAAAACGCCAAATTAGTTGTTGCTTCAATTTTTTCTATTGAAGTCTCCAGTTTGCAAGAAGTTTGCCTTTATACACAAAGTTGTTTACGGAACGCTCCAGTTTCGTATTGCACGAACCTTGTAGTTGCGAATTAAGTTTATTTAAGTGTATAGTAATATCCATAAGATAGACTAGCCGTATCTCAAATTTTGGATTACAAAACTGTTTCAACAATATCTCTCTGTCCTTACTGCAGCTCATATAATCTCCCCTACCTTTTTTCTTTCGACTGCCGACGAAACTCCTTAGGAAAAAGTAGTGTTTCGTGCTCGGACTCCAAATCAGAGCACAATTTTTTAAAAATACGCTTATTAAGCGCCTTTTTTTACTGTATTCACCAGTGTTATCGCCAGTTTCATGGTGTTCGCCAACTCTTTAGGCAACTTTTTTAATGCTAGTGCTTTGCGGAGAATCCTACCCTGGGTTGTTATTATTCGGCAATTTTTTTTAACCAACAATGCTAGGCCGGAGCGGGGTCCTTGCATAGTGGGGCTCCGTCCTTACCGAAGCCAGTTAACTTATCCCACAGGATATTATGATATTAAAAATGTCGCTTATTAATTCATTACATCCGTTCCTTTTGATTTAGTTTGAAGTTATCTCATTATAGTTCTTCTTTAAATGTTTTCGGTTAAAAACCGAAAAAAGGCAACTGGTAACCCCTGTGGCGTCTGTACTTCCGTCACACTATAAGGAAAAATTAGGTGAATTTTTTACGTTCACCACAAGTTGTTCTTTAATATAGTACGACAACTTTTCAATTCGCACTTTTACCATATTGTTCGATAGCGGAATTTGTTGTTTTTCTTTTTGGCCTGCTCACCTAGAACTCTTCTTCCACCATTTTCAGCAGACAAGGCTTTACAAATGTTTCACCAATCCTAAGTAGTTTTTCTATTTTGCAATTAATTGCGCAATTTGGCAAGTTGCGACAGTACTTTGAAATAACGCAAATCTTGTAACACTTGTTCCAAGCTTTATTTTTTTTAAGTTCTCTAATTTCAAAGGAAAAAATTTAGCAGTCAATTAGTTAAATTAGGGTAAACTCTTTTTATAGGACTTTCCAACTTGGCGGTTTTAACGCACCACTGCTGGAAACGGCGGCACAAATTACGCACTGAGGTCCCGTTTCCCGAGTGACATCAACTGCGGACATTCCAAACTAAATATAATCGTTGTCATATATATTCTCTTCGGCGGTGCCAGTTTCTAAGAATCTAAAACTGTTAACAAATGTAAACATAACATAAATAGTGCTCCCACCTTATCTGAACTCCAATCCGAAAAACTACCCCATTCACAACGCATGTGCAGGCCTCTCCCTGGGCACGGCATGACCGTTTTTCGGAAGATTACTTCTCGTACTTTTAAAACAGACGTTTAGGATGTATGTGTTTTCTACCAAATGCTTGATTCAACGTTGATTACAACCGCTTTTGAATTAACATTATCGCTCATTTTTAGTTATTTTAATGATAAATTCAAGGACCTCCTTTAAAAGTCTAACGTATCACCTGTCGGGAACCTCTTCTAGGCTACATGAAGACACATACCTTAAGTGAAAATGTACTCAAGGGGACATGATTTTAATTTTTATGTACTTCCACATTAACGGTTTTAATAGTACTGCGGTCAACGTGAAATTATATGACTAACTACTCTAACCATATAGTTTACTTACCTGCGTTCCTAACAACAATAAAATTTCAAGTTATAATTTATATGAAAAAAAAAAAGGGTACAAAACTGATATTTTAACACACAACGATTTAGCTGACCCTTATAGGTTGCACATCCTTAGCTTTTTATAAATAGCTACAACAATAAATGACGAGTCAGTAGAGCATTATAACTACTTTATTTATTTAAAAAATTTGTATAATAACTACTAATGACGAGACCAATATTTATAACGTACACCTTTTGTAAAAGGCATTAAAGTCTACTATATCCTTTCCTGTGTAAAAGAGAAAACTTTTTTAGCGAGCTTTTATTCAACACCAGAAGCAACAAGTTACATGAACTGTACGCATTAGAGCAAGTATAGTTTTAATAATATTGTAGTTTTGGTTTGTCAGAGACAGTTGATTTGCTTTTGGGCTAAAAAGTTTACTTTAGTCCTCTAAACTAAGGCGACTGTACACTTGGTGGCATTTAATTTTTGTCCTAGCCTTAAGACTAAAATGAGCACGAATATTTGAGTCCCAAAGATGCAAGGAGAACCAAAAGGGGTAAACTATTTCTTTTGTTAAAAAAATTTACTACTTTTTTTAGCATTAGCATACTACTGTTTGATCTCCTATAGGCCTTAAATCCCTTAATTTGTAGTTTCCCTCTAACAAGATTCGGGGTATAAATGCCCATTAGTTTACTTTCCCGAGAGAATATAATTTTGAGAAAAAAACTCCAGTTCATAATTTTAACTCATATTGCCATATTTAGGCAATTATCATTTTTTATGTTGTTTTATCGCTCCATCGTTAGCATGTAAGGAAAACACGCTTAAAAAATAATTAAGCAGTCGCAAAAAAAAAATTGCGCTTGCGTCTGAACTCACCTCGGTACGTCCGTACCTTATATATGTATATATTCGTGTACAGTTAATATCTAAAGACTTAATAAAGGTTTAAATACCTTAAAATAAAAGGGAAATTCGGGTCCAAATTCAAGCCGTTTAACTTAAATTAATAGAAAACAACATTAAACTACCACCAAGAAGCGGTGATTCCAAGCACTTGGCCCAAGGCTTCTGAGAGTCACCGGTGAGTATAATTCCTCGACTATCGTTTCTCCATCTGAAGTGAATCACGATTTTGAATTTACTATTGTAAATAATACTAAGAAACCAATCGAAATCCCTCTTTTTTGTTGCTTCCGGTTGGGGGGGGGGGGAGAAGAGGAGAGAGGAACTGGAAAAGGAAGGTTCAATGCGTGTCCGGGGTCTGTAAAAAGAGTTTCTCGAAGTGTACTTATCCGAAGTACTCGCAAGCAGACTGACGACCTGTGTAAATCTTGCCAAAAATATGAGAGATTTCTCTCTTTAAGCAAGAGTAAAAGCGGAAATGGTTTGGAAGTCGCTATTATAAACAAACCGCTTATGGAAACAAATTTTATTGGTTACGCGCACGCTGACGTTTCCCTTTGATCTCTGGCCCCGCGCCTTGGACATATATCGAAGCATTTGCCGATAAGCATGCACAGAACTATACCGCCAGTGATCTAAATATATTTCGGGCCTCCTTGAAGCTTCTACCCAAAAGTGTTGCCAAATAGTTTAAGGGCCACGAATGAACTTTGCGCACGAAAAGGTTGACAGCTACACGGGTTTGTGAGATAGTATACCTCCACATTACGGGACCGTTTACTCCTGCAGCATAAAATGGTTGTGGGAACGCTTTGTTTTTTGTCTGCGCTTTTACAAAGAGGTTACTTGTGACCTTCTAGAATAATAGAGTGATGCTTTTAAAACTATACTTAGTCATGACGGTATATAAGACGAAATTTTTGTAAACAGTGGAGCTATTACATAATTTAGAGTACTGATTCTATGTGCGCTAATGTATCATTAAGGCCGAAACCTTATGTAGAAATAGAAGAAGCACAAGCTTACTAATTTTTAAAACTGGGTAATTTGATACTTTTTATAGCTTAAATAAATATGGTTTCCTGCCCGTCGGGCGTTTATTGTTAGTGAGAAAAACTATCACTTTAATACTCTCTGAAATTATGGCTGTTTCAAACGTTACTAGTCATGTTAAAGTAGCTTCTTTTTTACTGAGTAGTAAAAAAAATTGCTAACTTCAAAAGTGTAGCGAACCGAACTATTAGTGTCGTTATTTTAACTAAAAAAGCAATATTTCAGAATACGCGCTATCTACTGACCTAAATTGTAGGTCAAACCCTCTTAAGTATATTGTATAAGATATTGTAAATCTGGTTCCAACCATAATGCCAATAACAAACTAGTCGCTTTTCATCTTATCTTGCATTGTAGGGGCTTCTGGGCTCGCAGCCTCAGCTTAGTACTACTAAAATTCTGCTAAAGGATGTCTGCTTCAAAACTATTTACTCTTCACCCTTTCACTTTTTCCTTTAAAAGGATTGTGTTCTTTTGCAAGACAGCTTCAACTTCTGGTTTTTATAGTACCTCAGTTAATTTGTCTTCTCTGAAAATTGAATCAATCTCTTACAAAAGTCATGGCGTCCCATCCAAAGTTTTGAAGTTGGAAAAATCTTATTTAAAAACTATTTTTTTCCTTTTATATCCATAAGGTTTTACTTGTCTTATCTAAGATTTAATAATTGATCCTTTACCTAGCCTTGAAACTTCCTTTCTGCCCTCCAAATTTGATGAACATTCTGTTTTAGTAAAATTATTAGCAGCTCCCGTCAATCCTTCGGATATAAATCAGATCGAAGGTTACATTTTATATAAAAATCTTTATATTTTATAATATACGTCTTTTGAGTACAGGTGTTTATGCGATTTTACCTAAATTACCAGCCGTGGGTGGGAACGAGGGGGTAGGGGAGGTTTTACAGATAGGATCGAAAGTAAATTAATTTATATTAATCCAAATATTATAATAAATTTTATTTAGTATACACAGCTTTTAGCTTCTATTTTTGAAGAAACGTGGATACTTATAACTTAGAAATTATTTTTAAAAGGTCACCTCCCTGCAAGTAGGCGACTGGGTTGTCCCTGCCCAAGCGGGATCTGGTTTATAATAACTTATGGATATATGAATCAAAACTAATTAAAAAAACTTTCTGGCATTCTTTGTTAAGGGACTTGGAGGACGCATATGCTGGGGGCCCACAACGAGTTTACTCGGATCCCCAACGACCTTTCTGTCTGTTTTTAAACAATTTAAAAATTTATTTTATACTTTTTCTTTAAAATTAAATCTTTTAATATTATTTTTAGTTTTAGTATATTCTTTACTTATTAATTTTGATTAAAGTTGTGATAGCTATATTTTTCTAAGTTTGAACTAAGAATAAACGTCTTACATTTTTATTATTTTTAAATTAAGCATTTATGCAATAC